CCCCCCCCCCCCCCCATCGATCCTCCTCACTTCCTCCAGAGCCCCTTTCATCAAATAAAACCCGCGATTCAAACCAACTCATCCAAACCCCCTTCTTTCTAATTACAGAGAGCGAAAAAAGAAGGTAACAGGCTTTGCAACCCTTCGTAAAAAATTCATTCGCCGTCGTAGAACGTCGAAGGCCTGTGACCACGGTCGTGTCATAAGGGAACTAGTATCAACCTGGAGTCCACTCGAGGCAAGTGCACTTCTTGAGGAATACGAGGCCCTGGCGGCGCTCAAAGATCTCCACGTGCAGGCAGAGCTAGCAAGACCCCCAGCCACAACCTTCAAACAGGATTTATCAACTCTCTACGATTACAAGCACTGCACAGACGTTGATCTTGTGTACCGTGGTGCATGTTTTCCGGTGCACAGGGCCCTACTCTCATCGAGATGTCCATACTTCAGGGAATTACTGGCAGGCTGTCCTGGTTATGGTGCGAGAATATGTTTGGAACTGAGAACACCAAATCTCGAGGTGCACATGTTCTCAGCTCTACTCCGTTATCTTTACACTGGTGATATTTGTACACATGACACGTCCCTCGATGGCAATTTGTTGAGGCGTCTTGGTGAGGAGTTTGGCACTCCTAATCTGCTGGAGCACGATCTCAGATACTTACTTGATACTGGTGACTACGCCGATGCTGCTCTAGTTTTTACGTCCGATGGGGATTATCAGAGGCCCGACAGTGGCAGCTCGGAGTATGGATTCAGGCCGAAATTGGAGTTACCCTGTCACAAGGCAATTCTCTCAGCGAGATCGACATTCTTCAGGAATTTGATACAGAGGAGAACGAGATCGGGGGAGGATCACACGGAGAGGGCACTGCACATACCCACGAGAATTGTTCTGGATGAGTCGGTTATACCCAAGAGATATGCCAGGGTTTTGCTCCATGCTGTTTATCTCGATACCGTGGATCTATCGTTGATTCTCAGGGGGAGCGGCTGTGGGAGCTCGGCGGGGAGTCTCGGGGAAGTACAGGCACTTACGCATACCGGGAGGATGAGACCTAGTCCCCTTGAGGAGGCCATGGAACTGTATCAGATTGGACGGTTTCTCGAGCTGGATATTCTCTCCCAGGGATGCGAGGATCTCATTCTTGAGTGGCTGACGCATGAATCACTGCCGATTGTTCTGAGGTAATTGGTTGGGGTGAGAGAGGTGAATACACCTTTTCATTATGGAAATCTGGGGGAAGTATTTATTCGGTTTACATTTGAGATGATCTAGTAGCTCTCGGGATGAAAAGGTCTATAGTGACGTGATATCGTGGGGGAACCTGTTGTCGGATGGTAGCCAGATGTCGCATGGAGAAATAGCTGATCCGAAAATTGCGTTTTCTAGCCGCTCGGTAACTGCACTGAGAGATATAGCGAAGCTCTCCAGCAAGTCTTACTTGCGCCAAAAAAATCGGTTGTTAAAAATGGTCAAAGAAGGATTTTTTGTGCTAAACATGCGAAGCGTGCGGCGAGATCGAATATTTTTATTGCAAATATAGCTTTAGTCTTTTCAGCAAAATTTAGTCTGTGCAAGCAAGAAATGGAATTTCTAGCACTACTTCTTTGTTATTCGATGCTCCCATACGTATTTTGATCCCGGCAAATGCTCGTTTAATATGAAACGAGGGATAGTAGTTTGTCATTTCGGCTATTCAATAATCACAGGCAAAAAATGCATTCTTAAATGAAATAGTAATAATGATATGACAGCAATCGTATAACTTAGGGACCATATATTTCTTGATAAACTTCCTTCTATAATAGTATATTTCGTTACGAGTGCGGAATAGAGTTTTTTGGCTTGTGCGAGGTTAATAGCATGAGCCGAAGGCGAGTCAATCAAACGTGGCTATTTTTCTATTAATTTAATTCTACGCGACATTACGGATCTGAAATTCATTGTTAAGAGAAAAGGTTTTACATTGGAGACTATGGGTATTAATAATCGGCGCGAAAGAATGAAATTGACGAGTTCCGGTGATGGTTAAAGCATTTAAGAATCGACTTTTCAAAGCATCCTCTACTATTTTATGTTCCTCATTTGTACAAAAGATACTTTCGATGGACTCTATTGAGTTTTTTGTGAATTCATAAAAGTCTCGTGGAGTCTTAATTTGATTGTCATACGGTCGCTGTAAACTCGCTCGGGCTGCGGCACTCTTCACCGTTCCACCAATGCCATCACATTATCCAGAACCATTTAATTGTCAGTAAGTAATATAGAATCCAAAGTAACGGCTCTGTAATATCCAGAAGTCCATTGTGAATTGATGTTCGAAGAAAGTTACAGGCTGAGTCCCTAAAAAAACACTTTTCCCCCGAGTATCGAACTCGCTTCGCTCGGTTAGATCGCGGTTTTCGGGGCCAACGACATGAAATATCGTATGTCACACGGCGATAAAAGCATTATCTGGCGAATGTGATTTTAATCCTCACCTTCGGCTTGGATTTTAAACTCACATTCGCCAGATAATACTTTTATTGCCTTATGACATAAGATGCTATTTCATCATAATGTGTGGAACAGGGACGTTTTAGGCACGCGAAGTGTGCTTAAAAGTTACTTTTTCGCACAGCGTGATGGAAAGATATTTTTATCCTGAAAAGACCCCGTCTTATATGAATGATCCACCTCTTGAGGATTATGCAATTATTTCTTTGGTAATTTTCAACTAATGATTCTGTTGGCACAAACAAGACTTGTTTGAGAACTTGTTCGTTTCTCTGTCAGTGTAGGATCCTTGAGTAAGTCGTGAAAGGATAGGGCGTCCGGCAACGGTAAATGATGGTTTTGATAGATTATTATTATTTTTGGCGGATATCTTGAATGAATGGAGAAAGTAAGGCGATTTTCATGAGTACAATCGTCTTGCGTGGAATTTTCATAAAGCCTGCCTAACAAACAAAAGGGGATTGAATACCATTCAATGAAATATGAATAAGCGAATCATAATTGTCCAAATCAGAATAAGGGTCAAGAGGGTGAAAATAAGCGTCACGAAGATCAAAATAAGGGTCCAAACACGGGTTACAAGGGTTAGATTAAGGGTCATATGGGTCAGATTAAGGGTCTAAATAAGGGTCACAAGAATCAGATTATGGGGCACAAGGGTCCAAATAAGGGTGACGAGGGTTGTAATCAGTGTCAGATTAAGGATCCAAATAAGGGTCACAAGGGTCACAAACGTCAGATTAAGGGTCCAAATAAGGGTCATGGGGGTCAGAAACTAAGGGCTCTATATATCTCACTGTTATAAAAATCTAAATCGACTTCTCATGATGAAAATTTGGTATATGAAATTAACACGCTAAAATTATGAGTTAGAAATGAAGAATCACGAGGGTCAGATTAAGGGTCACAAGGGTCAGAACAAGGATCATGGGGGTTGTATGGGAGTCGGCTAGCGGTGGGAGCAGGGGGCTTAGCCCCCTGCAATAGCTGCGGAATACTAAAAACATTATCCATGAAAAACATGGTCTTTTATAACAGCATGAAACTTTACAAGTTTGTACAACACGAAAAACATGGGGACAACAGTAAAAAAAGCCTGTTTTCTGGGGATATACCTTAATGTTTCCTTTCTGTTATTCCAGATGGGGAAGTCAACCGCACGGTTCAGCCTGGGTTCACAGACAAGCCCTCCACTTTCTCAGAGAGGAGTTTCAAACGATAGCTTCCACCTCAGTCCTCTATCAGCTAGATCACACTCATCTCGTCCACGCACTCCAGAGTCACTTTCTCCAGGCTAGTGAATTAGAAGTACTCCAAGCTGTTCTAAAATGGGGTGAACACGAGTTGGTGCGAAGGATGGAGGATCGTGAGCCAAATTTGCTCAGTCACACCGTTCACTCGGTGGCACGAAAGGGGGTGAAAAAACGAGATCTCAGTGATATAGAACTGCGAGAAATTCTCAGTGAACTTTTGCCACTTGTTAGGATGGATCATGTCTTACCACCCAACAGTGAAATTCTATTACAGGTAATTTACTTCATTGGTATTTGTTGAAGTAGTTGATTCAATGCCTGGGAGTCATTGGAGAGGCTTGAACTCATTTGTATAATTCAATGCTGCAGGCAATACGTCGAGGTCTTGTTTCAACGCCCCCCAGCCACATGATCGGCGATGAGAGGGAAAATATGAGGATCAATGCGTGGATACGAGGGGGAAAGCGGAATGGCCTATTTGTACGGCCTCGTTTATTTATGCCCTATTACGAGGAAATTAAGGTAAAAATAGATTTTACTCATAAAACCATTGATTGAAATGTTTTCAATTGAAGGAGTTGGAAATTGTTGTTGAATTATTTTAAGATCCGGATCACGGATGGAATAATTTAAGAAAAAAAAGTAGCAAATTCGCTAGACAATACTACTGGATTTCTATTGAATTTTCTATTAGTTTTTGGCCGATTCTATTGAGATATTTTCTATAGAATTATCTCGGCATCAATTTTCAAATTTACAAAGTTTTTTTGTTTGATTTTCTTGATGAAAATAAAAAAATGGAACGAAAAAAAACTTGGAAAATTTTAGCCACGGAGATTCTCTGGAAAATATCTCAATAGAATAATTTGTATAGAAAAATCCAATTCTATTGACTTTCCTGTAAAACATTTTCTATTGAATATATCAATAGAATCGACCAAAAACTAATAGAAATCCAATAGAATTGTCTACCGAATTCGCAAGGAATATCTTTGAAACGTTATCTCGATTGTTTTTCCATTTTCATAATCTAAAACATATCACAAGTTCCATTGGATTTTATATCACGCAGGAGTCCCTAAAAATTGTGATTGTACAATAAAAAAAAATAGAAAGAAACTGAACATTTTAAAATAGCGTTTTCAGTAAAGATTAGGAAATAAGTCCGATAGAGAGGAAATTGTTCCATAGAGAGGAAATTGAGTAAATGGATAATTCATCATGGCAATTGATGACCTGACAGCCATTGGCTTCTGCGACAAATGACCACCTAACAGCCATCAGAGACAGTAAATTAGTAATTGGCGATTTCCGCCCGATTGGGTTTATTTCCCAATATTATTTAGAAACGCTCTTTGAAAATGTTCAATTTCTTTCAACGTCTTTGCTTCCGAATGGAAGTTTTATAATCGCTCAAATTTAAGTTTCCAATTTTTTCTGTTAGGGTAACTAGATGTGGTCTAGATAATCCGAATATGCAATTTTAGATGGTGTCTGTATATATGTACGTGGTCTTTTATTCTTCATTTTTTTCGAAATTTTCTTAGAAGGGATCAATTGAATTTCCTGAATATAGATTTTATTCAGCTCTATTCATTGACACCAATTAAAATTCAATTTTTCATACAGATTCGAAAAAATCGATATTTTTCCACAAATCCATTTTTCAATGATCACTCAAAAAATTGTCATCGAAATGGAATTAGTCATGGCTCAAAAGATTGATAACAATATTTTCTTCATTATATCAGAATATGGTGGAGGTAGATTCACAATTCGTTGTTGAGTTACAGCGCATTGGGCATGCGATTTGAAAGAGAAAATCGTCTTTTCATGATTAGTAAAAAAATCATCAATAGTAGTAATTAAATCAAGGCTTGAAAAGTATATTTCAAGAAAAATAATCATCATCGACAAGAAATGTTCCCTGTTCTTGACACTCGAATTTGCTTCCAATATAAGAAGGGAAAATATGAAAACCAGAAATAATCTTGAAATAACGTTCTTCAAATTTTTAGAGTCTAGTCGAAGAGCAAATGATTCAAGAAGCGGAACTAGTAAGACTGCGAAGAGCCCGATACATTCCTGACATACCAGATACACTTTACATGGTCGATGAGAAACCAAGGTCTATGGGTGCAGTTGGCGTAGATGTACTCGCTGCAGCACTTCCTGGTACTGTTCCACATTTTAATTGTTTTATTCACCTTAATGTCTATCTACAAAATATTTGTAACAATTCTTACGAATTAAAAAACAATTTTCATGTTTCCATGCGATTCAATCTAGCAATAGACTGTTGAAACCGAACATTTGGGTTTTACTTGAAGATCTTTTTCTGATATATATGTGTGAATCTGAGTCCCCAAAAATTCAAATAATTTATGAACAATTCATCTTTTCACGTGATGAATTATTTTTTGGAATAGTTACGTAACAATTTTTTAAAAATGTCTTCATGCAAATTTCATAACAAAACAATTTAATTTTGTTTGAAATTTTTTTTAATGTGTCCAAGTCAAGAAACCTTTTAAAAAACAGAAAAGTCTCGAAAAAACTCGAAAAGTCTGTTTTTGGCGTAAAATTGATAAAATAATTCAAAAATTGCTCCTATCAAAGATACTGGCCTTCTTAAAAAAATTATAAATAATCTATTTCCACCCAGAGAAATATTTTTTTACCAAACATAACAAATTTGTTAAAACTCATAATTTTTTTAGGAATCGAATTCATGGAAATGTTAAAACGAAGCAATTTGATTCAACTTGAAAGTATTTTTAGACAAATATATCTGAATCTAAAGATGTTTTCAAAATTCCCATGACCAATGTTTTTTAAATCTCATTTCGCTTTACGAAGATCGTTCGTCTTTGACAGGACATATGTTACAAAAACTCATCCTCGAGAAATTAATTCTTTCTGTTCTGTTTCTCCTCCACTGAATTTCTACAGAATAAAACAAAACTATTTAATCTAGTTCCAGACGCAATGACAATGTCTGCGATGCTGAAACGCGAACAAAAACTCAGACAGTCGCCGAGTTGTCAACGGGCTGTGAGTTTACCCCTATCGTGTCGTCACGAGATAAACAGACAAGTGAGATTACGTGTTGTGCGTGAGTTTAATCTACCGGACGCTGTTGCTGATCTCCTTGAGGTAAATACAATGCATCTTAATCATCAATGCGATATAAAACAAAGCATAGGAGTGAGCATTATAAAAAGGACACTTTTGAAATTTTTTCTAATATCAACTCTTTGAGTCATTCATGGCCTGAAATCTTTTCCCATAAAACGTGAACATCCCCTTTACAATTCGCTATGACTTCACGTTATTAACCCTCAACGGATACACTGGGGTTATTCATCACCCCGGCCCAATTTATCTTGATTGTCATTTTGTATATAAATGTATCCCACGACATTTATCTACTACAGTCATTTTCTTCAGAGAATTTTGAGTACTATTGGCTCAACAGAATCCTCAGTTTGCGTTTGATATCTGTCCATCTTTATTTATTAGACTCAGGTATAAAACCCATTAGAGCCTGTTTAATCACCAACATACAACACTTTTACAGTGCTCATAACTGTACAAAAGTTAAACAGAGACAAAAAAGTCGAATATAAGAATCATATCAACAGAAAGAAAAAAGTCTATATCAATTGATACAGGAGAAGCTGAGGCAAAATGGACATTTTTTACTTTTTTCTAACGTTCACTCGGCAATAAATTTATCAACTGAGCTCAATTAGACTCATTACAAAGGGGGAGAATTTTACTTTCCATGGCAAAATAAATAAATAATCTCATATCACATGAATTTGAAAAAAAAAGTAGCAAAAATGTGAACTTTGCCTCAATCGCCCCTAGATCTGGGCAAGGATTGTGTCTTTGTACTCGCGTTATTTCATTCTATTGAAGAATTAACATCGTTCGTTCTTCAATCTCAGATATACAATCTCCATGTGAAAATACCGTTCAATTTTTTTTTCAATAAGTCGAACGGAAAAGAACACCAAAATTACCATCTCATGTTGCATTTCATTCATGGTTACCAAGGCTTTATTAACTATGAAAAACTACTAGAGTTGAAAATGAAACCTGACCAAATGAATCTTTCTCAGTACTTAACAAATGATTTAGTAAGCCCCGGATGGATTATCTTTCGGGCATTATTTTGATTATTTTTTCATCTTCATAATCTAAAATATATCACAATTTCCATTGGATTTTACGTCACGAAGTAGCCCCTAAAAATTATGATTGTAAAACCAAAAAAAGTAAAACAACCTAAACATTGACAATGAACGTTTTTAATAAAGATTACGAAATGATTCCGATGGAAAGAAAATTATAAATGCATAATTTATCATAGCAACCAACGACCTGATAGCTATTGGCTATTACGACAAATGACGACGTAACAACCATTAGATACTGTAAATTATTAATTTGCATTTTTCTACCTATCCGGTTTGTTTTCCAATACTATCTAAAAACACTGTTTGAAAATATTCCATTTTTTCAGCGTTTCTTTTAATTATAAAATCCTAATTTTTGGAAAGTCCAGGGCAATGTGAAACTAAATAGCAATTGGAGAACATTTCAGATTATCAAAATAACAAGGAAACAACCACATTTGAAAGATAATACACGTCGGCTTTAACAGAAAAAGTCGCGACAAATACCCCACCTCGTTGGAGAACATGTTTTTTCTCTCCACGCAGTGTACCCATAGAAGGAGTGCCCACAACATGTATCCGCAGAGGGTCAATAACTCTTCGATCTGTCGACAAAATGTGTTTATTATCTTCCCACAAAACGAGAACTTCCCCTTCTTCATAATTGGCCATTATTTCACCTCATTAATTTCTCAATTCCCAAATCTCTGAGTTGTCGATCTTTTCGGAAAACCCAAATGTCACTTCTCCTCCCCTACCCTCGAATGCCAACAAGAATCTATCGAACAATTACATTCTTATCTACGTCGTGAGAAGCCATCCGCGTTTCTTAAAAATGTGCAACACTTGCAGCAATTTATTCCGATAAGCCTCCCCACCCCCGATTTGCAAGAAATTCTCCTTATTCTCGATGTTCTCCATCTTCGGTGCTGATCCAGGAACCGACTTAATGACCTGCGTCATCGCCAGACACTGCGCTAGTTTCAACGGTCCACACATATCAAGCAGCCTCAATAACTTCTCCCTCGTAAACCTCGTCGCATCCACATTAAATCTCCTCAGAGACTCCACGAACGAGTCGTAATACAGCCTCACCATGTCGTCAAAGATCCCCTCCGTCAATTCGATCCTCGGGCTTGAGATCAAGAAGAAAATGAGGTCCTTGACCCCGTAATCATAATTACCCAGTTGAAAATCAACGATCTTTATGTCGATGATCTCGTCCGAGTTCTCCTTGAACTTGTACATCATGTTGTTGCCCCAGAAATCACTGTGGACGAATGTAAACCAGTTTTCGTCCTTCTCCATGGCTTTCTCCAGCTCCGTCATGCTCTCAATGGTCTTGTGAACGTCATCCATATCCTCCTTTGCCTCCGGGATATTTCCCAGATCAGTGACTGCTTTTCTTATCATGTCCATCACACATGAGATAGCCTCGTCGTTCGCAGAATTCTCAAGCGCTGGCATTACCACATTTTCGAACACTTTTGGCTTCTGAATTCTTGTCGCAATTGTGATTGCGTGGAGCTTGGCGAGCTGCTTAACTGCGTATTCGGTCTGATCTCTGGTTAGGCCGTCGAGACGATCGATCATTCTGTAGCCAGAGTAGTTCAAATTCTCCAGGACTATGCAAGCTTGATCATCGAATTTGTTAGGCATCAGTCCGAGGCGTCCGCCGTAGTAGTGTGGCCCTAGCCAGGATGATTCGGCGTCTGTGATCCCATTGTCCTTTTGGAGTTGCAGAAATGCTGGCGTTACGTCTCGGTAGAAGACGAGTTCTTTGTTGAAGGTCGCGGGAGAGTTGAAGAGCTGGAGGAGGTAGGCTGAGGGTGGCGGGAGCTTTACGACAGTGTGTAAGATCTTTTTGGAGGAACTCTTGGTGAAGACTACGTTCACTGCGAGGATTAAACTACCGAAATTCTCACCGGGGTCCGTCAGGTTCTTCCAGCTTGTTTCGATTATCTCGATGTCGTTTCCTAGGGTTTGGGAGAGGAGGCCTTTGAGGTCCTCCACTGGGAACTTGTCCTCGCTGGTCGGCATCCCTGGAATCAGAGTGGGTTGGTGGTTATGTGGGTTTTGGAGGTGTCATTGAATGAAGAATATCAAGAAGAAGCTGGCTACACAATCCGTCTCATATGAGGAACAAATATGGACCTCTGTCTGGGACCGATCGCATAAAACAAACATTTGAAATCCGTTCGAGCCAGGGTTTCGTAACTTTTCGTCCGCGGACAAAATTTACAAAAAATTTCTGTGACAAAATAACCGACGACAATTTACCCGTTGACAATTTTCTCGCCGACATTTCCTCCCACATCCATTATTCCCGAGGTACAAAATATCCGCCGTTAAATTATCCTGTTATTTCAATTGAAATTTATCCCCTTCTGAAGCAATATTAAGTAAAAGCAGGGGTTTGAGCCTATCCGATCGGGCTGAAACAGGGCGCCGAAGTTGAGCTCAATAATAGCTACATGAGCCAAAATTTCAGATTTTTATCTACAAATTTCACCGTATTTATATTGAATCTCTCTATATTATAGGAATCGAAATGGACTTCTGGCAATGAAATTTGGTATTCGAAATTAAGACTCAAAAATTAACAAGGGCAACAAGGGGACAAGGATCAAACTAAAGATCATGAGAGTCAAAATAAGGGTCATGAAGGTTTGAATAAGGGCCATGAGGGTGAGAATAAGGGTCACGAGGGTCAGTCTAAAAGTCACGAGGATTAGAGTAAGAGACACGAGGGCCAGATTAAGGGTCAAAAAGGTCAGAATAAGGGTGACGAGAATCAAATTAAGAATCACAAGAGTAGAATAGAAGCACAAATAGTGGTGAAATTAAGGTTCACAAGGGTCACAAGATTAAAGGTTAAAAGGGTCATATTAAGGGCGTAAATAATGGTAACAAGGGTTAGAGTAAGGATTCAAAGATGAATCACAAGGATAAGATTAAGGGTCGCACGGCGACGGTGGCCGAAGCGGTTAAATCGCTCGCCCGGACGACGGGACCCATGAGGCGCGGGTTCGAGTCCAGCTTGGGGTAATTGCGATTTTTAATCTTTCGGAAACCGTCGAATGGGAGTCTAGACACCGAGAATCATCGTAGAAGTGTTAGGAAAACATTCTCCGATGAAGCTCGGTTGATGGACGCCCGTGTCGACCAAGGTTTTCCATGGTTTCCCTTGGTCACCAGGAGAGTACAGCTCCTCGGGTACAATCTGACACGGTTGGAGAGGAAGTCGGCCCATGAAACCGCAAAAAACATGTAAAAACCCGAATGGGGTATATATGGCAATAAATAAAATAAAAAAAGATTAAGGGTCGCAAGGGTTCAAATAAGAGTCATGGGGGTCAAAAACCAAGGGTCAGAAACTAAAAGTCACCAGGGTCAACTAATAGTCAAGGGTAAAACTCAGATCAAAAATCAAAATATAAGTCACAAGGGTCAGATTAACGATTAAAAAGGTCAGATTCAGGGTCCAAATAAGGGTCGTTGCAGTCAGAAACCAAGGGTCACAAAGGTCAAAATTAAACTCTCTGTACCTCTCTGTATTATAAAAATCCAAATCGACTTCTGGCGATGAGAATCCGGTACTCGAAATTAAGATTCCAAAATTAAGGGTCAAAATAAACATCACGAGGAGTATAATGAGGATCAAATTAAGGGTCACAAGGGTCAGAATAAATATCATGGAGGTCATATGGGGATCATATGGGTACCATATGTGGGTCATACGGGAGATGGCGAGCGGAGCATGTAGGGGGCGTCAGCCTCCTAATTTTCTAAAAATTAATCACCAAAAACCCAAGTTGTCGGATACATACATACAGACATGACCCTAAAAACATAACTTCTTCAAGTTTCAAAATGCTCTAGACCATTTGCAATCAAAATTACAAAATTGAAAAATCGCGCAAAAACAAGGCGTAACTCAGAATTGATGGACAACATTTAATTCGCACTTTTCAATTCGATAACTCACATTTTATAATTACAATGCTTCCGCCTCGTCTGCAACAATTCCCCTTGATTCATAGAAGCACACCATTTGCACCAATTAATAAATGTACATTAAAACCATTCACTGACATTCAAATTAACACATAATTACAAATAATCCTGATTTAAAATTCCAAGCGTTCAAGCATTCACATTTGGAGATGATGAGCCACATACACTGGCAGTGAGTGTATAAATCACAGGGCTTAATACTGAGAAAAGCAAATGTCGTGTGAGGTGTACACTGTTACAAAAAAAAAATGAAATTTCATGGACAGTTCCCTGGTAAAACAGTCCAATTATTTCCGACTGGGTGATAAAAAATGAATCGGCGTTAATGATTTTTCTGTCTTTGCCAGTTAAATTCCGATTGGCTGGTAGAGTTTGAAGTTTGAGAAAATTATGAGAATTAATAGGATCAAGGGTATGTGGCTGTTATCGTCCGATTACTTTCCAAAAAAGTGGTTGATAAATCGCATTTTGCTCATATAAATCTTTAATATTTATTGCTCATTTAAATATTTATATGCGTAATATGAGATCTATCAACCACTTTTTTGAAAAGTAATCGGACGATTACGGCCACATACCCTTGTTCCCATTAATTCTCATAATTTTCTCAAACTCCAAACTCTACCTACCAGCCAATCGGAATTTAACGGGCAAAGACAGAAACATCATTAACGCCGATTCATTTTTTATCACCCAGTCGGAAATAATCGGACTGTTTTATCAGGGATGACTACTAATTTGCAGGACAATGACACTGAATACGATTTAGGGGAAAAAATCATGAAATTTCATTGAAAATTCAGTAGAATTCCAGAATTTTAGGCAGCATTAAAACGAGAATTCCTTAATTTATTTGAATTTCCATTTTAATATAAATATTCAGTGCCAAATGACATTGAATTTTCAGTGAAATCTGACATTTCATGATTTTTTTCCCCCTAAATCGCATTCTGTGTCACTATTCTAATCAAGAATATATATACCAGAATTTTCAGAATATATTTCCCAGAAATTCTGAATTTTCAATGACGAAATCTCTTGAAATTTCAATGGTAATTAAATTTGATAAAAATTTTCGAAACGTGTACTGGAAATTTCAAACAAAAATGTTTAACAGTGTAATGCGGCTGCCGGTGATAATACAAAAAGGGGAAACATTATCGAATAGTCAGTCTGTATCTTCTATGAGAATACTACTTCCTGATATTCTTTTTGCAATCAGGGATCATTTACAGTTGAGAGATTGATCTTGATGAAATTATGATGGTTGGGATGGGGGATATTATTCAGGAGTGAAGTGACAAGACATTACAGAAACTAACGAGCCTATTTTGACATCTCATTGAATATTCAATTATCTTGATGATGAGTCGCTCTAGAAGGCGAGGGGGGTGTCATGTTTCAATCAATCATATTTTTGAAAATAATACTCAAGGAAGATCCAGTCGAAGGCAATAATCGAAGGATAATCCATTAGTCGATCAAATAGTAACTTGTCAAGTTAATCCTCCGCATCTAGTTGGGGAAAAACTTCCGTCAAAACACCACGTGCCATTTTTTGACTTTTTTTTTGACGGAGTTGCTCTTGAACGGAGTCGTTTAGCCATGAACTCATCTAGTTGAATATTCATTGATGTTCATACTAAGTGATTGATTTATAAGACAAAGTTACGAGACATTTTTTGTTTAAATTCATCCACCTACGGTTAATGTCTCAAAAATTTTCTGGTGAATCACTCAATCAAAAAATAATCAGATATTTGCGTAGTCAATCCCCAACATCTTGTTGAATGCTACATCTTCGTGAGAATGAGTGATTTTTGCGAAACAGTTCTAGACATTTTTAGTCTGCAATTTACACGGAAAAAAATTCTCTAAAAACAATCCTAATCGGCTGTATCCTTGATGCAGTCGTCAGATTTAACGCCGATACGTCTGTGGACCGAAATCCTCATTGGCTGTATCCTTTTTAACGTAATTCGTCATAAGAATTCAATGTTATATTCAATTCTATACGTCTCTATAATTTCATAGAGATTTTCAAAATTGAAAAATTTGTGATTCGGGAGGAAAAAGGAGGAACGGAGCACTCTACGAGAGGAATCTTTAGCTTTAAACTATCAATAGTCGTTTATTGGAAAACTCAATTTTGCCGTGGAGATTTAACTCTCGTCTTCCGGAAAATCTCAGTTCTCACTGTAACCAAGAAACTCAATTCCGCTGACTAATAAGGAAAACTCAATTTACGCTTTTAAGCATCGCCGATAGATGGCGCGGCTGCATAAGTATTTTCATCACGTTGTGACGAAAAGTGAACTTTTCGGCACGCTCCGCGTGCCTAAAAGTCCAATTTCCGCCACATTGTGATGAAAAATATTGTTCGTAACTCGTGAAAAAATGTTTTTTAGCTCATGGGATTATATCACTCGCCTTCAGCTCGTGATATAAACCTCCCACTCGCCAAAAAATACTTTTTTGCACTCGTTACGAAATATACTATTTTTCGCCGAGTGACCCCCCAAAATGAAACCATAGACGTATCCACGTCAAAATCTAGTGTTAGCAGGGGTGAAAGGGCGCAAAGCGACGGTCAGAGCGAGATTCCAGTGCCGGCACTGGAAATTTTATTGAGTAGAGCGTTGAGACAGGACTTTTGATTTTAAATAAATAATTCGAATAAATTGATAAATTTGAATGCAAAATATAAATTGGCTGAAGCCCACACCTGGCGCGGCCTGGGTTAAGGGCTGCCAGGGCTCAAGAAAATCCCTTAGTTCGCAGTTTTATTCGACAATATTGATAATTGATTGGGCGCCAGTTAATTTATCGTTAACTAACAACGTTTTGCCGACTTATCTCAGGGAGTGGAACGTTGGAAGACCCAAGACTAGAGAAATTCGGCAGAGCGAAAGAAGGAAATTCGGCAACACTATTAATAATTAATCACTCACTGTTTTATGTCGACAATTCACTTGGTTTATTCAACAGGAACCTCTAAATATTCTCGGGAATCGACTCTTTTCCACACAATATAAAATAAATAGAAAAACAATACAAAATATAAATTACAATACAAAGTATAACCACACGATATAAGAGTGTCACGTTGGCGACTTGTTGCCTATTCCCAGGCACAAACATTAGCAAAAATCGATTCTTTAGGGCATGAACCCACAGTGACGACCTAATTACGTTGGACCGCCGTCTCAGGTGTCGGCGAAATTCAGATTAGAGTGCGTGAATGATAAATTAAACAAATCCAAATTCCATATATAACAAATAAATTAATGTTCGACGAATAAATGCAAATAATTCCCTAGAGCAACTCGCGAGATCACCGAGAACACGGGAAATTATGTCGACGCGTAGGGAAAAACAATATTTCCTGTCAGAGCGTAAAGTTTTTCTGTTCTTATAAGAAATTTTTGCAGGAATCCCTGGAAATTTTATCATTTTTCGTATATATATCAACATGAAAAATTACCACTGAAATTATCAAAAATTACAGGTTGAATACCGTGTTGGCTATATAAAATAGCAGTCGAAAAGTGCAATTTTATTGGTTCAAATTTTTAGGAGAAAAATTCTCGTATGTAATACCACAAAAGCTTCAAAATTCTCAGGTATTTCCCAATAGGTTCATTTGTATGCAGGGAACCTTGAGGGAAATACCTGATTAATTTTAAAGCTCGAGTGGTATTCCAAAGAGAATTTTTTCATCCAAATTTCGGCCAAGAGAATGCACTATGAGACAAAATCCATCTGTCAGTTCCAACGAGAGGCTCACTCGACCAAGAAATCTTTTATTTTTCATATAGGGGAGGTTGGGGTAAAACGGACACTTTTGACTTTTTTTAAAATGTTAATAAGGGGTTGAAATGTTGATAAAATTTAATAAATTTTTTTTTCAATACAAAGAACAATTCTTTCCTTTTGTGACGAGCCTAAGCTGAGCTCAATTGATAATTTTGTTTCTGAGTTATGAATAATCAAAAAACAGTCAAAAAAGTGTCCATTTCCCCCCACCCTCCCCTATATATCAACATGAAAAATTACCAGTATAATTATCACAAATTATCAGTTGAATACCGTGTGGACCATATAAAATGACAGTTGAATGTGCAATTCTATTGGCTGAAATTTGGATAGCAAAAATTCTCAGTAAAATTTCATAATTTTTTCCCCTCTAAATTGAATTCAATGTCACAACAGAAATTCAACACAATGAGGTCTAATAGTCTGCCTCATACTGCCGTCTGACTTGCATTCACGTGCAGCAATGGGGCGTTCATCATCTAGGTTTCTTGTTTCTTCTTCACTTCCGTGTTATTTTTTCATATTCTCCGGAATAACTGGTTTATATGGTTTCAATTGCGACTTCGGTAACATACGGGTATGTCAAACGATATTTGATGAATGTCCATTACTTTTTGTCGTCCTTGAGTGACACAGTAATAATATTTATCAGTTCGAGTGCATTGTTATCAACAAGGCATTTTTAGCGCCTTCTTTACGCATTTTTGTAACTATTTTTTGCTACTACGTTTCGTTTTTTTTTCTAAGTGAGGAATATCTGGTTCGGATTATTGTAATGAGCGAGACAATGAAGGAATTGCAAACAATGAATCGTTGCGCTCGCGATGTGCATAACAATTAGTCAATGACAGATATTCTAATGGATAATTGTACTGATTAATAGGACTGGACACGGAACAACATTTGCGTTATATAATCGTGTCAGCAATTTATGTTTTCGGTTATTTCGTTTACTTCTTTGGTTTGCAAAGGATATTATTGTTTAGTGCATGATATGTCGCTGAAATTTATGCGATTCATGTTAATTCTTTTCCAATATTATCTATTTATTGATTCATCTATTCATTCACTTATTTCGTTGCATTCGACAAACAACAACAAAACGGCGGAACTTATCTAAAGTGCGTAAAATGATAAGGGACAGTCAGACATGCAATTTTTTTTTCTCCATTTGCGATAGGGAAAAGCCGGCAGCCTTCAATACTCGACGCTTTCATTTACACCCCATTTGACTCTCGATTACCGATTATTTGGAAAAGTTTTATCAATGTAACTTTGAAGATTGCAAGTTCATTCCCCATTTATTAAAATTAGGAAACGTTACGAAAATCTTGAACAAAAGTATTGAATCTAGTTTTTTAGAGAGATTCATAAAATAATGGAGACGTTGCAATTTTTTAAAATAAAGAGCCTTGTTCGTGCAGAAACTACACGAAGAGAATATCTTCAGAAAAATGATGAGAACAATTTCTAGAGCTTTCTGGAAAAATTTCACACAAGCACGAGAAAAAAATGTATTATTATTTAGCGTACGATATTCGCTAAAATCCATGTGATTTATGTTAATTATTTTAATTGCGAGTATTATTCATTCATCTAATCATTCACTTATTGCGTTGCATTTAAAAACCAAAAAAATATTACACATTTTATCTGAATTGTGTTGACTGATAAGGGACAGTTAGACATGCAATTTTTTTTCTATTTACAACAGAAAAGCCGGCAGTCTTCAACTCAATAACTCAACATTTTTATTTACACCCCATTTGTTTCTAGATCACCAAACATTTTATAAAGTGTTATTATCTTAACCTTGAAGATTGAAACTTGCTTTTCGATTTGTAAAAATTCCAAAACATGAAAATTTTGAAAAAAAATATGAGAACAGTTTCTGGGGATTTCAGGAAAAATTTCACATAAACACGAAAAAAACTCATTATTATTTAGTGCATGATGCTCGCTAAAATCTATGTCATAAATGTTAATTATTTCACTTATCAATATTAACTTAACTTTTAACTTTTTAACGTTATTTATTCCAAGAAACATACATTCTTACAAGTGGCCATTGCCCGAGAGCCTTCAGCTTTTATCAAGATTATTTACTCATTCACCTAACGATTCACTAAAAATTATTACACATCACATCTAAATTCCTGCGATAGAGGAAGCCGTCACTCTTCGATGCTCAACAACTCGCCACTAGGCCAGTGAAATTCACTCAATTTCCGCAATAACAATTAACGCAATAAAATCAGTTCCATCCGAATTTTTCTTTCTGAAACTACTGCACTGAGAGAAAAATCTGAAGTTCGATTTACAATAAGAAAATAGTTGAGGCATTTTGGTGAACGATACGATTTTTTTTTGTATGTGGCACATAACATTATAGTAACTTCACAAGCGTAATTTTTGCAAATCAAAATGTAGTTAAACTGACCAAAGTTCAAAAGTAATCACGACAAATCTATCGTGAGGAGAACTATAAAATAGTTGCAATGACTACATTCCATCGTAGTAATTTTGACTATAATTCGATGGTGATGAAATATAGTCAGAAGAATTATATTTTTCTCTCAGTGTGACGCCGAAAAAGATGGATTTTACCCCCAATTACCAAGGAGCCAACAAAAGTGATAAGAATTAAGTGGAATAAAGGTCACGATCCTTACCGCAGCTGTCTCCAATTCGCGCAAGACCAAGCGTATTACCAGCGCTTGAAATAGATTGTGCTCACCCGCAACTAGCGGAACTCTTGAGTAGTCCACCAGGTCAGTTAGACGATTCAGTAACAACTGAGGTTCGCTCAGTATGAGTTTGACTTTGGACCCCCTGTTCTCCTTCCCCGGAGACATTTATGCCAATTCCCCTTCCTCCCCCATTCCTCATTGCTTCGAAACATCTGATATATCAGTTACTGAAAAAAAATACAATCCCTCAATTTTAATTGTGACTTTAAACGATTAATCAGCGATTAATCGGGGCTCTCTAATTACGATACATACGTTATCTTGAAGAATGGGTTGTGCTGGTTTCGATGAGTATTGGAGCAAAAATGTAACAGCTATCATAGAGAGTTTATGGACGTAACGATAGAATCAATATAAATTAATGAAAGTAAATGGAAAAAAAGAGGTGAAAAATGGAGGCAGGCCTTGTCAAGAGTTATCTCCTCAATGCGAATATTTCCTCTTGAAGACTTGGAGATCTACTTGAACACCCTGAGGCTATTGCAATCTCGCAGATCTCTCTGGAATTCATAAATCATTATATTCAATCATTTATTATGTTTCTGGGGGAATTTAATGGGTTTTCACGATTATTTTTCCATGGTAGAATGCAGCTTTCTATGGCAACGTGGAGCAGGATGAAAACATGACAGGGATGGAGAATATGGAGGCTGTGAGCCCGGGAAACATGAATGTCAGCACGAGTGCAACGGTGAACGTTTGTTACGGGAGGAATATGACGTTTCCTCGGCCGAATTCATCGTATGGGCTCAGGCATGAGCTTCCTGCTGTCGTTACTGAGGGGGAGAATTATAGACATCAGGGAGAGGTAAATTGTGTGAATTATTTGGCTAGATGTAATGATGATATTCATTGGATTAGAACGGGGGAACGTACACTGTTAAGGATATTCAAGTATTTTTTACAGTTTGGTGCAGATCACATTGTCGATTCAACTATTTTGAATCATCAAATTTTTCAATTAAATTGCGTGAAAAAATGTGGAAAACATCATGAATCTTCAGCGCTTTAAAATTACATTTTGCACTGAAGTATTATTTTTTTAACATTCGTCACTTATAAATAAATAATTGATATTGTTTGTTTTCGGAAATTTTAGTTTTTTAGGCATGAAATCGACTACTGGTAAAATTCTGAATATGATTAAATTTGTTACGATTCCGAATAAATGACTTTTAGGGGGGAAATTGATTGTTTATGAATCATTTCTATAAAATGCTTGTAATTTTCAGAAATTGTAATTTTTTAACTATTTCATCAATCTTCCTCCAAAAGTAAACTTTCTAATTTTCTTTCAGATTTTTAAAATGTTTGCTAACGGTTCAATGTTGAGATTGAAATTCAGACATGTAAAGTTTAAATAATAAAATCTTTGAAAAATGTTCGGAAACTTAGAGTCAACCCTCATGGAAAGAACATATATCCGGACATATATCTCAGTATATTTTACTTATATTTCGGCCAAAAATGTCATATGCCAGATATATCCTAGATATAAATATGCACATATATCTCGATGTAAAATATTTAACATATATCTGCAATATATCTCAGATATATTTTCGGCCAAAAATGTGGTATGCCAAATATATGCTAGATATAAGTGCTGCATACAGTAGACTCTCGTTATAGTCGCACTTACGGGGCTGTAGGGGCAGCCGATTCTGAGAATGGGACTGTATTTCTCTTCCCCCACCAGGCGCTCACGGTAAGCCTAAATTCCGGGAATCGGGAGCGATAAGAAAATAAATTTTACTCCAATTATTTTTCTCTTCAATTTGCATTGAACATTTTTATTAAATATAAAAATTATTTTCATTAAACACTTTTATTAAATTAACAAAATGAATTGCGTTGAACACTTTTAGTAAATTAATGAAATGAATAGAAATATTAATAACATCGCATTGTTTAATACACTCTAAAATTTATCCACTTCATTCAAATAAAAAGCAGGATTATGCACCACTGCAAAGACCTTCTCTTCGTGACAGTCAAGAGTGAACTGAATTTCTCTCGCAAATTCATTTTTCCTAAATTTTATTTCCCGAATTTCTTAGAAATGCAAAACAAAGCCCATTCCGAGAAAACACAGGGGCATTTAAATCCACACCTCGGAGGTGGTACGGAGTGGGGGAAGCGCTCGAGCTCGAAAAAATCGATATGAGGGGAAATGCGACTATAACGAGAGTCTACTGTATATCTCATTCCCATAAGGGAAATGCGGCTTAAATGAAAACTCTGATGTTCGACTACAAAAGTAGAAAAGTATTTCACTGGAGAAAAAACAGCTAAAGTACTTGAATATCCTTAAAAAAATTGGCTGAATTTTTCAGTAAAAGAGCTTCAATGAGATTTTATTGGAAAAAGTCAATGGAATTTCCAGTTTCTCTGAGAATTTCAAGTGAAGTCCCCATTTTGTAGCGGCCGGAAGAAGGAAATTCCAGAATTTACATAAATTTACCAGTGAAAATTAGAGTGAAAGTGAATATTCACTGCCAAATTCACTTGAATTTTCAGAGAATTCCTTTAAAATTCTCGGAATTCCCCAAATTTTTAAGGAATTCCCCGACAATTCAGGAGAACCTGAGATTTCTCAGAATTTTGCTCATTTTTCATTACTTTTCCCGGAATAATTTAACTGAAATGTACAGTTTCCACAGTTTTTTTCATGAAATTATGAATTTTCAATAGAAAAATTCATTGAAATTATGAGCAGTGACAATATTACATGTTAGAAATTTCCAAAACTTACCGGAAATTTCAGTGGAAAATTTTTAACAGTGCAGAGAGGCGAATGTCTCGAGATTCCATTATATTTATTTTATTTGTTATTCACGACTCCCCTGCAAGGTCTAGCTCAAAGTAGTAACATGAATAATAATGTGATAATAGTTCACAGGCGAGAGAAATTTGCACTGAGAGAAAAAATTAGCGCCGCCGATAAATTACATATAGGTATCTTCGCTAATTATCGGTATGATTTTGTACCTTCAAAAATTTAATTTTGCTGAGGTTTCTTATATGGCTTTCTTATTTGAAAAAAATTTCAAATTATATTCGAAATTCATCAGTTATCGATCATTTATGGACCATAAATAATAAATTTTGGAATAAAAAAAATTTACAAATGAGAAATTGGGAAAATTTTTTTTAACGAAATTTGAATAAAATTATTTTTGGATAAAACGGATCCGCGTCAAAGTCTAATTTTTCAATATGTTTCGTAAAAATATTTACTTTGGGTAAGGAAAGAAAAAAATCTTCAATCGAGGTGGAGGAAGGGGGTACCACGCAGAATTTTCTAGTTTATTGGCAATTTTAAAGCATTTCCGACTATGTGAGCTAATTCAGTAGCAAAGTGGTAAAAGGAGATGAGTGCATTTTTCGAAATTCGTAATATTATTATTACCATTTGAAAATTAATATTTCATTGTGATTTACGCAAAAATTTTTTTTTTTTTTAAATGCAATTATCTCCTTTTACCACTTCGCTGCTAAACCGGCACCATGCTCAATCGAAAGAACGGAAAATTTCCATTGGAAATACATATTGAAAACCCGAAAAACAGCTGTAATTGTACGTGGATACGTCCATGGTCTTTCCTTCTTTCTCGAATTTCCTAGAAACTCCTTGCATTCCCTCAAATTTTCCGGAAACTCCTTGAATTCTCTTGAATTTTCTAGACACTCCTTGAATTTTTTCGAAATTTCAAGAAACTTCTCGAATTACCTCGAAACGTCTACAATATTCTAGAATTCCGATAGGTGGCGGTGGACATAAGGACCGTTCCCTAAAATGACCCTCCATATTGAAACCATAGACGTATCCACGTCAAAATTACCTCTGCTGAGACGCTTGTGAGTTATTTAGTCAATATCTCACGAGATTCTAAAATTAACGTTGTGGGCGCAATCAAATTTGAAAAAAAACTGTTAAGGCCTTTTGAATGATAAAAAAGCCATACACTGAGAGAAAAACGGCAAACTTCTCAAACAAGTCTTACTTGCGCCAAGAAAATAGTTTTTTGAAAATGATCAAAAACGGATTTTTTTGTGCCAAACATGCAGAGAGTGCGCCGGAATGAAAAATTTTTGTCGAAAAATAGAATTAGTAGTTTAAAAAAATTGCATTCTCTGTACACGCAAGAAATGTCATTTCTAGCACTACTCCTTCGTTATTCGATACTCCCATACGTATTTTGCTCCCGAAAAATCTTTGTTTTATGCGAAACAAAGGATAGTAGTTTTTCGTTTCGGCTGTCTAATAATCACAGACAAGAAATGAACCCTTAAATGAAGCAATAATAATGATATGATAGCAATCTTGTAACTTAGGGATAAAATATTTGTTGATAAATTTTCCCCTATATGAGATATTTTCACTCTGAAAAGGCACCGTCTGGTGTGAACTATCCGCCTCTTGAGTCAAATATTTCGTTGCTGTCGAAAGCAGAACAGTTATTCATGTTTGAGACTTTCAAATTCGACCCAAACAAATTCTTTTTTGGCAATTTTCAACTAGCGATTTTATTGGCTGAAACAAGACTTGTTTGACACGTGCTTATTTTTCTCTCAGTGTAGAAGAAGCCTCAACAGAATTAAATTTTTGAAGGTACAAAACCATACCAATAATTGGCGAAAGGACCCATACACACACACACACACATACATACATACATACATACATCTGGACATGGTCTAAAAATAGCACATTCGAACTCCTGAGGCCAAAATTAGTTACCCTGACACAAAAAATTATAAATTTCGGATTACAATGCTTCCACACTGAGAGAAAAATCACAAGTTCGATTTACAATAAGAAAATAGTTGAGGCAGTTTTGGTGAACGATACAATTTTTTTTGTATGCGGCACATAACATTATAGTAACTTCACAATCGTAATTTTTGCAAATCAAAATGCAGTTAAACTAACTAAAGTTCAAAAATAACCACGACAAATCTATCGTGAGTAGAACTATAAAATAGTAGCAATGACTACATTCCATTGTAGTAATCACTTCTCCGGCCATAGTTACCGTAACCCATGAAAAATTGTTGAGGACTTTTTGACTATAGTTCGATGGTGATGGAATATAGTGAGAAGAATCATATTTTTCTCTCAGTGCATTCGGAAGCAAAAAGAAGAATTTGAGTAATCACGGTTCACCACTTAGCTACTGAAATCAGAACAATGTTATGATCGATTACCTGCGTTTTACTACTCGCATATGAATTTGTTTACAATGCGTTAATTACAGTGGGTTAATTTCCTCGTGGTCTCAAGACTTAGTGAGAGATAAAAATACTAATGTTTCGAGTCACACACGTTGCGAGGAATTTGCTGAAAGATACGTTTCAACGTGAGTGCAATTCATCTCAAATGTTTCTTTTGCGTTCAAAATTGCGCTTTCGATGTAATTGTCGTTCCCTGGAAGCAAAGATTGTTTAAACAATTGAGAGTCTTCGACATGATAAATTGTCGACTGATTTCTTTTCTAGATTGAACTGAGTTTAAGTTATTCGTCAATTTGATATTGATAATTCATTAATAAATTATCAGTTGAGAAGTGTGTAAGTCACTTGATGTTGAATGGTACAGTTTCTGCAATTGACTGAAATTTTGATGGGGAATTCTTGGTCATCAAAAGTTCTGATGTTATATTTGTACGTTCAGCTACTGGGACATTCAACTTACTTGAATTTCACCAAATTGAGAAAAACAATGCTTTTTCTTTGAAATTACACTTCTTCCACAACTTACCTATTAAATCATCGACTAAATTTCTGATTTATCGAAACGTTGAT